CTGTCATCGTCAGACATTCAGCACCAAACGAACCTCGTCGGAGTCAGCTGCCTCAGCGATCAATGGGATCCCCACGGGTGTCAGTCGAGCAGAGGGGACCCCGTCGCTCAGCCAGAGTGGCAGGGGCTCATCTACCGCGAGACCCGTCTACCTCTGCACCGCTTCGCCGGTCGGCACGATTGAATTCTACTCAGCGTAATTGATCATCCTCCACAGCGAGTGAGAATAGGAGATTAGCGATGCAGCGGTCTGACGCACGTGACAGCACGTGACCAGATCGCGGCATTCGGACCAGCAACAGAGATATGGAGTTTTGGAGCAAGCTTAGCAACCAAATGAATGAAATCCTGATCGTTAACCCCGAAGAGCACTTCTCCACTGATTCACATTTGCAAGTGTTAGATGTTGATTAGCCCAAAATGCTAGTGGAAGTTTTCCTCATTTAACATGTTACCGAGAACCAGTAAATAAAAGTTGTGTCAGTGGTAGTTTACCACTAAGCCCGTTTTGGACAGGATCCACAAGAGAAGCGTACTAAGAAGCAAGCCCCTGAGTCTGGTATGTATATAACAGGCGGACGGATGTATTTAGAAGAACAACTGTTTAGTGATACTCCATTGCTACGTACGAGACCTTACCGATCCATGGATCGTCGACAAGTTGTTTGTACATCATACTTAACGGCGGCGGCTAGAGTAATGCCGACAGCGAGTTCAGCTGAGCCTTGTGGAGCGCGAAGACGGACCGTGTTGGCAGAAAAACAGCTCGCGGGTCGGCTGGCGAGTCTCGACAATTTTTCTATACTGCCTCACGACGTATTGTAACCAGCTCATCTATATTAATCGACAATCATTGGTAATCTGCCTCTGGGAACAAACACATAGATCCTGGAAACACCAAATGCAATTCTGGGGGCTGATTGTTCTTTGGGAACTCCTCTTCAGCTCCTGGGGCCAATTCCTGTTGCCAGGATACCGAGTTCTACCCCTGGGATCTCCACTATATGATCCTGATTGAATACGAACTGGTTTTGGGAACACATTGGCTGGATCTGGGAGCTGTCGCGCTCCTGGGACCCTACTTCTGGATCCTAGAGTCAATATTATGCCCTCTAGGGTCGCGGAAAACCCTCACAAGACACCTTCACCAGACCTGCGCACAAATCTGCGTCACTCGGTTACTTCCGGAAAGGCTAAGCCAAAGCCCCAGGAACCGCACTTTAGGTTTCAGGAGGTGATGAAACTGTCAACAGGAACATGACTTTGCTTCCCCGAGGGGAATATTAAGCCCCAGAAGCTCCGTTAGGCTTCCTGGAGGCTATATGGCTTCTAGAAGCGGCACATATGCCCCCAGAAACCGCACTAAAGCCTCCGGGAGCAAGAGAACTCCCAGGGCCAATATTTGCATTCCCAGGGCTGATAGAGCTCTCAACAGGGGCGTGACTGATTTTGTGAGGGTGGGAATGGAGAATCTACAAGTTACGTACGATTCCCTGGGGCTATGTGATCCCTGGGCAGCTCACATTATTCTCGGGTCGGCTTTCGAAAACTTGACGGCCACCAAGGTTGATGGATATTTACGCAGAGCAGGTCGTCAACCATCACCTGCTTGCTACATCAAGCCACCCAGCATACTGCTCCGATATTAGCCACGATTGGTTGGCTAGTCAGATCAAGCGATGGACATGCTTTGGTTTGAATTAAGAAATTCAATTGGTAAATTATCTCAACAACTCTGCAGTAGAGTCAATTTCTTTGCCGTTTTCATCGCACCTCTAATGTTTTTGGACTCCACCTCCCTCATTTTTCTGAATCATCATCAAATTCTGCGACTCCCTTTTTTCTTAAATCCGGTTGACTCGTTCCTTACTCCTCCTTTAGGAGGTCGATGGAACCCTGTCAGAGATATACATGAAGCATAAAGGACGGATTGAGATATCTGCGCGGGACCCACATGGTGTATATGGGTTCCCCTGAACGCGAGGAAGCTACCTTTCTTTTGCTTCCTCGCGCTACGTCTTGTATCTAGAGTCGACTGTAGCTTTCTTTAATATTGATCACTCATCTACGGGTACGTGAGGCCCTCACACTAGGGCTCCGAAAGGAATAAACGAATGCGAATAAGCGCATTATTCATATTCGCATTCATATTATTCATATCATGCATTTTGCGCGCATTAATTGTTTCCCCGATTTTTGTATTACCGGAATACACGTTTCCACTAGTCAACTTGTATTTCAAGTGCCCATCACGGCCTCGGTCAAGCAGAAGTAAAAAATATTCCCCATGGAAACCAAGTTCTAGAAGTCTATATCCTTTATTGTAGGGCTCGGTAAGGTCTACATAGTTTGTGTGGTCACTTTCAGTGAATTATTATCGGTAAGTGTCTATTTTTGGTAACCAGAAAGGTTGCTACAAAAAGTGAAGCGGAATAATATATATCTATAAGACGTCTTCCTACATCTTTGCTGCTCCATTCAAACCAACTACCATAACTCTACTTATTCTCGCCCGTTCTACTTCAAATTCAAGATGTGATATAACTATCACTATTGGCACGTAAAAACGCGTTTATCATGCCACTTTAAGTCACTTCTCACCCAGGTCACAGATTGTTTACCACGAGAATCGCCTGTGAGAAACGGCCGCGTGTAAAGAAAAGACCTATCAACTTTCCATTTTGATGAAATTGCATAAGGCGAAATCGCAGTTGAGATTTCTCCGTAACTGTTTAATTTTCACTTTTCATTCCCAACCCGCGAGGCTACCGAGTATTGTCGAGTGATACTGAAGGTGTGCCATGCCTCGCTCCCAGATACCGCTTGGACTACTGACACTGGACACATACAGAGGAACATCATAGCCTAGCCTATTCGTGAGAAAGACGCGTGGTTTTCCACGTCGCGACTACAATGCTCTGGATAATGGCATGCTCTCCCTACTCCCTGAGCCATGGGAAGGAAACATCCGTTAAATGGAGAGCCCCTACAGCCATCACAGAGGATGCATCTCTCGGATATTGATAGAAATCTAGACGCGCCACCAATGAGTTGGTGCCATCGTATGATCAACGATGCAAGCGAAGAATGGGCTCTCAAGTAGTGGAAGGCGAATTTATTCACTTTTCTACTCACGGCAAAGGCAGCCTTGGATTGCCTGCCAGTTTTATCAGCGGACTTAAGGATTGAACGCGAGTCCAGCAAAGCCAGAGATGTATTGGGGCTCATGATACACTGTCTGAAAGCGGAGACTAATGCGATGGCTTATGATATTGAAGGACAGCATCAAATTATATTTCCAGGCCAGTGATAGTGACAATATTCAGATTCAAGGGGATTTAATATCTCAAGGGTGGTAAATTGTATGTAATGGAGTCTAAGCCCATGAATTATGGTTGTTGTATTGCGATGTAACAACATGAACGGTAATGTATGCTCTCTTCGTATATGATTAAATATGAATTATTCATATATTCATGAATAGTCATATTCCTTTCGGAGCCCTACCTCACACTGTCAGCAAGAACGTGCCGTTCATTCCCCGAGATGGAGGTAGAAGGCCCCAGAAGCTGCGTCGGCGTTCCTGGGGGCTATATGGCTCCTATAAGTGGTATGAGGGTGTCACGTATGCATAGGGGGGGGTGGCGTCTCGAGATATATGACAAGTATTGAAAACAACTATAGTCAGCTCTATCTATAAGACGTAGCGGGAGGAAGCAAAAGAGAGAGGCTTTAGGTTCAGGGGAACCCAGATGCACCATGTGGTCCCGCATATCGTATCTCCACTACTCGTCGCGTATGTTTCATGTATATAATATCCCTGACGTTAACAATGCTTTAGAATGACATGGATCCAATTCAATCCCCCGCCAGTCACCTGCGGAAAAGGTACTTTCCAAAAGTAGCTCAGGACCTGCCGTCCGGTCAACATAGCTTCGCGGAGATCAGGAAAGGTCTATTACTCAGGGAAGAATACGATTCGTGATCAAACTTCTAATTTCAGCCGAGTGGTGACTGACCTTTAATAATCCGCTAATAAATCGCCTAAAGATCACGTGCTGCCGAGTAGCTGCAAAGCGGCCCAACTTGCTCGGGATTACTAAAAAGTCACGAGACAATGACACAACAAGAAACTGGTAACCCCTCGATTTGTCTCTCTTCAGGTTTTTCCATCGCAGTATCAAAAGGACGAGAATCCTTGTGAGCGCTCCTTAGTCGTTGCTCCATCTGCTCTCTCGAATTATACCCAGCGACTACTGCGTCTTTGACTGCGCGAACCTCAGCCATTGTCACGTCACCTCTTCCCTAGTCGCTTTTCACGCCCCCGCGGTTGCCACCTATGGCTACAGTTGTTTCACTTTCGTCAAATAATGTCAAAGCTGGCGCGACATACGCTTGGGCAACAGAGGTGCGACCTATTGCCGAATCCCTTCCGAAACCGATGCGTTCTATGTTTGCGCGTTTTTTTCCAACCGACAATTGCGCTACACCCATCAATGCCGCTATATCGGAGTATATCAATAAGGTGCACCACCACTCTCTCTAAATCTACTCGCTCGTTGGTCTAATATATCATTCCGGATTCTCAATAGGCAAGCACCACACGGTACAAGAAAGGGGGGTTTGTCTTTTTCCCGGGGAGGTCGAGCGTTGGGCAGACTTTTACAATAATGATTCCTTTGCACATAAGTGGCATGGTACAAATCGAGGAATTGGTCTTGGATGTGGATCACTACTACCATATCTCGAAAGAATGTGAAATGGAGGTTTCCGAAAATGCTAAAATGGTGGTGCTAATGTTATCGGACTTTGAATGATTGCGGTAAGGGGTTATCTTTGACAAGCCGTGGTTATAGTCATTCCCCGCTCTATTTCATTTCCTGCGGAGATCTCTGTATGGAAAATCTTGGTCATAGAATGTACTGATACTTTATGCCATTTGTAGTTAGAAACACGGTGAAACTTGACGGATCAAGAATGCGAGAAGGTTTAAGTGTAGGTTCAGAGGGTTTGGAATTCCGGAATAGGCGAAAAATAATCCTCTTCAAACGGGAGAGCAAGTTCTGTGGTAACCTGGTAGCCTTGCGCAGGAAGTTCATAAAGATGACTATCAGGATATTCAAACGAATGATGAATATAGCCTCCAGTGTCGCCCTGGAGTCCCAAATCTCCCACCGCCTGATTAAAGAAATCAATCTCGAACGGCTGAGCATAGTTCATAGGTCTATCATCAGGCTGCGAAGGGTTCACAGAGATATGGCGGAGACAACTGTCAAGGGTTTGAGGCAAGTACGTATTGACCTGAGTGCGCCTCCGTTTGCGACATGCTTCGCCAGTCTCTTGCTGTGAACAGGGACTGGAATCAAATGCACGAGTAGGGGGATTTTCCAGTGCTGTATCGGCCCATTGGGTGTACTTTGTACCTGCCGGCGGCATTCTTGGAGCTGAGGAGGCATGCTCTAGTTAGAAACAACACATGGGTTAGAATGGCACCGAAAAACGATTTTAGTTCAATGCCTCTCATCTACTTCTGCAACCAATTGGAGTTGCATTTAGGGACGTACCTGTGAGGATGTTTTCGTTTCCAGATATATTTGTTGTAAATTGGGCGAAGTCTTCGGCCTGTTCTGAACCATCTTCATCCAAAAGTGAGGTGCAATCCGTGCGGTGAGTTGAGGGCGAAAATGGCTCCGGTGAAGAGCCGGCTGTAGAGTGCTCTTCGGCCAATGAAACACTCGTTGAAGAATCCTCCATGTCCTTTCCAAGAGGAGGGTTGCATGGCATACCATGATTACTAGGTATCGGCTGCAGGTTGGAGGGGTGACTTATGTTGATGCCCTCTCCTGGAAACTTCATCAGTCAGATGTCCATCAAGAACGAGAGATAACGTACCATCATAATAACTTTGAAATTTGTTGAGCCAATTCGAAAATTGTTTCAGAATTTCCAGGATGTGAAAGGGTCGTTTGATAGACCGCCATGGTTCTGTAGCTGGTAGGTGTAGTGGCAAGTCGATTTTCGCCGAATCCAGAAACAATTGTTCGATGAAAGACGGTATTTCCCCCAGTCGTAGATTTTTGAACGGAGTGATGGTCAAGGCCGTCAAAGCAGACACCCCAGTTCCAGCAGTGGGTTCATCTTTCTGGCCTAATGCAACTCTAAGTGCTTTTTCAGTCTTCAGCTGTTTTTGGCCGGCTTGGATGCATTGCTTTGCAAAATTTTGGTTTGGCGCATGGAGACAATCTTTCACAAATGTTGGAATCAGGCCTTCTCGTCTGGACCTCCTTGTTTCCGGAAATTGACTCTCAAACATTGAAAACTGGAGAGCCAAAGAACGTTGTGCGATTCCCCGGAAAAGTCTGTCTTCGTTTGTAGGATTCAAGGTTCCATCCACTCGTTGAATATCTCTCAGTCGGATGTCGATTCGTTCTTGCTTTCGATATGCTTGGATAGCTTCATTCGGTTTTTTTTGAGTATAGCCCCACATCCAAGGAACCTCCTTCATTAACGACATAAAGAGGAAAGAAGATCTCTGCGTTCCACGGCCACCAGTAACCGTGCCTTTCAATCCCGGGCACTGAGGAAGTATGGTGATACGGTCCTGTTGTTCGCCTGCAGTGGAAGTGATACTTCTAGGCTCTTTTCGCGATCGACTGGTTGAGCCCTCTGACTGTCGGATCAAAGGTTCAAGCGGCTTCTTTTGGCAGAAATGACATTGAGAACTTGCTGTTGGTCTGGAACCATTTAAGCCAACCACTTTTTCTAACCGGAATTGGATCTCTCTGATTGTCGATACGGCTTCCTTTGTGTGGGCATAAAGAAGATCGTCCGATGCGTTTCGCAAGGCTTCCAAAGCACCCAATATGTCCATTGTGTAAGTCATTGCAGATAATGAGTGGGAGCAGAGAAAATAGGAGCGTGGAGGAAATAGGGGCGTGATTAAGAATGACTGATCAGATTCATGAGACGCGTTTGAGGGGAACCTTGTCGGACCGCCGAACATAGGCCAACCAGAGGCCCGGGTTATCATGTAGTGCATTAGCCTCGAATTTGGGTAAAACTCCTGCACCTATTGTCACGCAAAAGAGAATAGTTACAGATACAGTACAGCAGCAACCTATTGGTTCACAATCATTTCCGCCCTCTTTACCCGCACATCCGACCAGATTAAATGAACATGTAGTAGTCTCTATGCATTCTTATGTCCTGCCCAAAACGAATCCAATGTCAATTTTGAGGTCAAAGTCTTCTCTATAGTGATGATTCACGGAAACAAAGGGTCCATGTTTCTGGTTGCCTTCAATTTATTGAAAGGACTGACTGAATGAAAACACTTTTTCCCCATTGTCTTTTACCTATTGCCCGCTCGTGTGACCCACACTTCCTGATCAACAGTGTTCTGATTCATTCCACCCCAATACAAGATGGCTTTCCTAAGCGCTACTGTCGCTCACAGCGTGCCTTTTTTCCTCGCCCCAAGGATAGAAGTCATCGGAAAAATACCTCAGCTTGCGCAAAAAATTATCGTGTTCCTGCTTTCTTTTGAAAGGGATGATTCGTCTGGAAACGCGGTGATCAATATGCGGGAAGTGTAACGTTCGTGCGTAAAAATTCAGCTTACATTTCATTCTCGACTCTCGAGACTCGGTAAATCTCATGAGGAAATTGCTCGTCCAGGGGACCCGAATGTTCCATCTTATCAATATCGATTATAATGTGAAATCTCGGGTTTGCTTGAGGCGGATCAGGACTTGGAGGTTGGAAATGCCAGAAATGCCGGCCTTGTTCAATCTCCTCAGGAAGGCGTCCACTGAATGCAAGGAAACAATTCACACATTCGACAATATCCGAGTAGGACATGTTTGGGAAATTGTTTTCCTGCAGGCGTAGAATAACTCGCTTGGGAACCATTGGAAGAAGCATCAAGAAAGGGAATGAAGGCGTGGGTCAAGTTCGCAGGGGCTCTCAGAAATGCTGGGAGCCCCTATTGGTTATAAACCACGACTGACCGGCTAGGGTGACTAATCAACACCCGCTAGTTAACCAGGCAAGGGATGTGATTACCGTACGAGCTAGAAATGACAGTGACCAATGAGAGGCAAATGACTTTGACTGAAGGGAAGAAGCCTCTGGATCTGGCAATACGCGCGTGGGCAGAAAGTGCTGTCTCTGCCTCAGGTATGAACAGTAAGGTAACTAATCAGCATCTGTCCCTGTGATTTTTGCCGTAAATAGTCAAGTAAATATGTATCGGGAGACACTGAGAAAGCTGGCTGTGCCAGTCAAATATCTGCAATTGGTTGAAGTCCTTCCGAAGCTATCTCAAGATCGAGCTGAGTACGTAGACTCATGTGAATCTTCTGCCAAGGCATAACATACGGGACGGATGTTACTAGCCATTCAAAACCCACCGTAACTTATCATACCAGAATCTCGTCACTATGTACTGCCACCGAGGATGAAGCACGAGCCTTGTCATTGATCTACAACTCATTTTCGATGCTTGACTTCAATTCCATCAGGAATAGACACATGCTCCCCATATCATTATCTCCTAATTCTGTGTGGTCAACACTATTGCCTTGATACATCGACTCGAAAGTACAGTGCAAGATAAAACCCACAGCCATAAGAAGCCTGAGGAAATACGCAGATCCAATAAGCATATCCCAAGGACATCACCTGGAATTTCCGCAACTCTTGCATTAAAACCGTCAATAGCCTTTTACAGGCGATCAAACACATGGATTGTGGAAGACATCTGTCAGGAAAATGGTGATCAGCATCGTCTTAACCCAAACGGTACCTCTGAGATTCTAGAGGATTCGATAACAGGTATTCTCGAGGGTATTTTAACCCCCTCGAGCCCAGTAGATAGAAAACAAGAATCAACACTCTTTTCCGATCATCTTTTTTGTACCCCTTTTTGATTCCGTTGCCTTTCGCTGACCAGTAAATCCGGTGTATTTCCACAGCTATACAGAACACTCCTGATAACATCACATAGACAGTATAGAACTACGTAAGGCGGCAAAGTAAAAATATCTTGAGGCTAAAGCGTTTTAAGCATACGAGGAGAGAATCAATCAGTGTAGATTCCAGGCAACGTTTTCGGGAGTACATCAACAAGGCTAGCCATCCTTCAAAGTGTAATAACAAGCTATCTATAATTCATCCCCTTCACATTCCCGCCACATCTCGCCGCCCTATCCCAAAAAAAAAAAGAGAAGCCAGAACGGTGCAGCTCAAGCAAACACAGCTCCAAACTCCGAGCCTTCAGAGCTGGGCGGTGTTTGGCCTAGACATGCTGGGCACCGACCATCTTGAAAGTCATCTTGCACATCAACCACGCGAGGGAGATCTCGAAGTTTCCCACTTGCCGGAAGGCAATAAGACTGATCTGGACGCTGTATAGATGACTGGCAGCGTTGGATCCCAATAGAGTATGTGTGTCCACAGCCGCCTCGGCCGTTGTATCGTCGGCACATCAAATCGCACATCTGCACAGAATATCAATAGAGGCAAAAATTGGATAATCGTATGTTGACTAACATTGGACGTGGAATATTTCGATTTTTAGTGGCAAAGCGCTTGTTAACAGTTATTATCAGAAAGCAATAAGACGTGGTCGTCTTCATAATTAACGGGAAGATCTACTTTCTTATATCCATCTTCTCACGCTCAGGCCTTTTTAATGTATAGGTAATGAATATCGATCCAAAGCCGGAATGAATCATAGCTGATCCATTCATTGAAGTATATTAATTCGCGTAAGCATCTGCTTTGTAGCTTGGCAAAATATAGCCAAAGACCCACCTCGTAGATCAAGGCAAATAAGCCAATCATATCATACTTCCGCGGAACTATGAAATGATTGGACAGTTCCATACGCGTGATAAGAGAAACTGTCGGAGAATGGACCCATGGGGTAATGATTATTCCAATATATCGTAATTCACACCCTTTTGACCTGGTAGAGGGTGACTTAAGCAATACAGACAGCCGCATATTGATGTCGGTTCCAACTGGTTGCCATAATTACGGATCAGTGACGGTCTGGGAAGAATCTCAGGATTGCGCATAGCGCCAAAGTATAATAGGTGATGGATAATGTGTTTGTACACGATACTTCGAAGTTATCTATTATCTCCTCGTGGATGATTTGAGTTGTTGAGTTGTCCTCATATAATGAAATTTCAGCTACAAAACAAGTCCACTCTAGTATCTCTTGGACTACCACATCGAGAACTGAACCCGATATTGCCACCCATGTTCAAACCTCCATCAAGGAAACAGAAGCTTACATTGCTGATTGCATTATAAAGTCTGTTCCTCAGAATAAATCCGACATTCACATTTCTATCAAGGTTCCACCAGATGTGAGATTATGACCTGGTTGAGCATATCAAGGCTTCGTTCCCTGCTTTCAACGTTCATACCACGCGTCCTCTCCCCAAAAAACCGGCGTGAGACTGTTTTATTTGGAGGACCAGATCCTAAAGGAAGCTCGACGCTCGTTTGTACCAAGTCAGATATTCCTATGATGTCGAGAGAAGAGTCTATCTTGACTGCACTGTCAGGTTCTGGTGTTCCTGCACAAACCCCAGTACTACAACGCTTGCACGTAGGAATTCCTCTCTTCCAAGTTTACACAGCTCTCTAACTAAACAGACCGTGCGCATTTGGTTTCCTGACAATGGAACTACAATCATGGAAGATGTCAAAAGCAAGGATCTTAATGATGTGGTGCTTGATGCTTTTGTTCTCCAAGATCTTAATGCTAGGCACCAAGCCCAGGATGACCAGGGTAACACAATAGATGCATTCCCGGCCGATCTTGCGGTTCGAGAGAGTGGTATCTCACGAGTTTGGGCGAAGTATGGCATTCCAAAATTCGTTCCTCTGAGCATCGATGATCCGATTGTCTTGAACCAACCGACAAAAGACCTCGATCAAAAAAAGGGTTTATGTTACCAGCGCCTACATTCAAGATATCTGCACGAGTACGAAAGAAGGCAAAATCTCGCAAACGTTTTGGGATATGAGATGCCTGTGGATTTGGAAAAATGGTATAAAGTGTCACTGCAAGACATTGGCAGCCGCCTAAGAAGACTCGGGTACTATTGATAAAGGAACATATAGTTCAAAAAAAGGACGATTGCGAAGTTCAAAGGTGCTATTTAACACGATGTTTGGTATGGACGTTAAGGTATTATCCTCTTCATTATCATGAGGTGGTCTCCAAAGAGAAAAAGAAACCCAGTCAAGACCTGGTATGCTCCAGATGTCAAAGGATTAAAGGGAAAGGTGATGCTTATTTCAAATTAGTACTATGTAAAGAACTTCCCATAGCGAAGTGGCGCCACTTTCCGAAGTAAAGTCTAGACCGGCGCATTTGCATAGATCTTCTGCTTCACTAGAGTGCTTTGCCGGAAGATTTTTGCTTCCCATTTCCCGAATAAACGGAAAGTGACTTGGGGCGAATGAATACCGTTCTACTGTTAAGTAACTATCAAAGACAGGAAAGGGGCCATCAAATTAAAGTCTAGAAAATATATTCCAGGGATCTTATAAACATGACCTAGGGTTTATACCAGCCAATAATAACCAATGGCATTTAGAGTCGAACAAAACCACCTCTCCCAGTATTAGATGATCCAATTGAAAATGCTAGTCTCGGCCTACGATGGTGGCTTTATTACCACGTCTAGATTTTTGTAGGTCAGCAAATCACACTGACTATACTGTAGAAGGCATAAATGTACCTGCATGCTGAGATGTTGTCCCTGGATGAACATCCAGTGCGCTGCATTGTGGTTTTACTCTCAAAAGTGATATAAATACACACCCACATTCGCATGTCCTTCATCA